ATCGTCATTCAAAGCCATCAATTCTTCTTCAGTCTTTTTTATTCTTTGTATAGCTTTCACATGCATACAAGGCTATTGAAAATACTTTGACTTGGGTCAGACGCAACTTAGTCTTCAAGGTGACATCTTTGCTTTTTCAACACTTCTTAAACAGGTCTTTTGCAGAAGATTTGCCCAATATATCGTTGGACTTCTTCACTAGTGCTTCCATGGGTGTTGACTGTAGATCCCAGTAAAATGAAATATTTGACAAAGTCAGTATTTTCTCCATTTATCCTGATACTGCTTATTGGTCCAGTTGTGAGGATTTTTGTTCTCTTTATGTTGAGGTAAAGGAGCTCTATTGAGTATAATCTATCCTGAAAAATGTAGTCTTTGATCTTTATCAATAAGTGCTTCAAGTCTTCTTCATTTTTAGCAAGGAAGATTGTGTCATCTACATACTGCAAGTTATTAATGAGTCTTCCTCCAATCCCAATAACATGTTCTTCTTCATATAGTCCAGCTTCTTGGATTTTTTGCTCAGCATACAGATTGAAGTATAATGAAAAGATGCAACCCTGACATAAACCTTTCTTGATTTAAAACCACATAGTATCCCCTTGCTCTGTCTGAATGACTGTCTCTTGATCTATGTATAAGTTCCTTATGAGCACAACTAAATGTTCTGGAATTCCCAATCTTAGCAGTGTTATCCATAATTTGTTATGATCCATGCAGTCTAATGCCTTTGCATAGTCAATAAAATACGGGTAAACATCTTTCTGATATTCTTAGCTTTCAGCCAAGATCCATCTGACATTAGCAATGATACTCCTTGCTCCACGTTCTCTTCTGAATCCAACTTGAATTTCTGGAAGTTCTCTGTTATTGTTATGGTGTACCTGTTTTTGAATTATCTTCAGCAAAATTTTACTTGTACATGATATTAATGATAGTGTTTGATAATTTTCACATTTTGTTGGATCACCTTTCTTTGAAATGGACACAGATGTGGATCTCTTCCAGTCTGTTGGCCATAGATGAGTGAACACTTTGAGCATTACATCCGTTTTTTGAAAGATCTCATTTGGTATTCCATCAATTCCTGGAGCTTTGTGTTTGACCAGCACCTTTGATACAGCTTAGATTTCTTCCTTTAATACCATCGGTTCTTGATCACATGTTATTTCCTGAAATAGTTGAACATTGACCAGTTTTTTTGATACAGTGACTCTGTGTATTCCTTATATCAAATTTTGATGGTTCCAGCATTGTTCGATATTTTGCCTGTAGAATCCTTCAATATTGCAACTTGAGGCTTGAATTTTTTCTTCCATTGTTTTAGCTTGAGAAATGCCATGTGTGTTCTTCCCTTCTGATTTTCTAACTCCAGGACTTTGTACATTTCACTTTAATACTTTTTCTTCTTGAACTGCCCTTTGAGATTTTTTGTTCCAGCTTTTTAACTTCATCATTTCTACTGTTTACTTCAACTACTCTGCATTCAAGAACAAGTTTCAAGTAAGTTTCTTTTCTGACATCCATTTTGATCTTTTCTTTCTAATGATCTTGTACTTTCTTCACATATGATGTCCTTGATGTTATCCCACAACTCATCTGGTCTCTGGTCCATTAGTGTTCAGTGTACCACATCTGTTTTTGAAATGGTCTCTAAATTCAAGTGGATATACTCAAGATCGTACTTTGATTCTTGTGGACTTGTTTTAGTTTTCTGAACTTCAGCTGGAACTTGCATATGAAAAATTGATGATCTCTGCAGCAGTAGGCCCCTGGCTTTGTTCTAACTTATGATATCAAGCTTCTCTATCATTTCTTTTCACAGATTAATCAATTTGATTCCTTTATATTCCATCTGGTAATGTCCATATATACAGTTGCTGTTTATATTGTTGAAAATAGGTATTTCCAATGAGTAAGTCATTGGTCTTGCAAAATTCTCTTATGGGACCTTCTGATACCATTTTTATCACTGAGGCCATGTTTTGCAATTACCAATCCTTCTTTGTTTACAACTTTCACATTCCATTCACCAGTAATTATCAATGCATCTTGATTGCATGCTTGATCAATTTCAGACTACAGAAGTTGGTAAAAATCTTAAGTATCTTCATCTTTGGCATTAATAGTGGTGTGTAAATTTGAGTAATGGTCATATTAACTGGCTTTCCTTGTAAGCATGTGGATATTACTCTATCACTGACAACATTGTACTTTAGGATAGATCTTGAAATGTTATTTTTGACAGTGAATATCAATATTCCTCTTCAATTTGTTATTCCTGTTATGGTAGACTGTATGATTGTCTAATTTGAAATGGTAAATACCAGTCCATTTCAGTCTTTAAGTGTTCCATTTCATTTTTGACAACTTCCAGTTTTCCTTGATTCATACTTTGTACATTCCACGTTCCAGTTTTTAATGGATGTTTTAGTCGTTTCTTCTCATTTTAAGCCTGGTTCTTACAAATGATGAAATAAACTCAAAGAAGTCAAATAATTTGTAGTTTGTCCAGAGTCACACAGTGTGTAACAGAGGTAGGATTTTAACCAGGACAGTGTATTCTAACTTGTATACCAGGATGCTGTGTATCTTAAGGAGCTTTGGTGGTGCACTGGTTAAGTGCTTGGTTGCTAACTGAAAGGCCAGTGGTTAGAACCTGCCCAGCCACTCCTTGGGAGAAAAGACCTTGTGATCTGCTATTCTAAAGGTTATAGCCTAGGAATCCCTATGGAGTGATTCTACTCTGTCATACAGGGACACTATATGTTGGAATCAACTTGACAGCACACATTAACAAACAACATATTTTGTGTCTTAAGTGTCCAGTGGAAAACCAAGGGAGTTGGTAGACTAAGGAGTGACATCTGAGCAATGCCTTTGGAAGGTTATTCTGGTTTCTGTATACTGTATACAGTAGATTGGAGATGGCAGGGGTTAGTCATGGCCATTGAAGAAGAGGGTATTGAATAGCCTAGATAAGAAATAACAAGAGCCTGAAAAGACACTAGTTTAAAGACATAGTTGAGAGTGGTTATAGAGGAAAAATTTATAAACTGTTATTGGATTTGGAAGGAACACGTTGGCACAACAGTTAAGTACTTGGCTGCTATCTGAAAGGTTGACGATTTGAACCTGTTAAGGAGCTCTGCCGAAGAAAGACCTGGGTGTCTGCTTTCCTAAAGATTATAACCTAGAAAACCCTGTGGGGCAGTTCTGCTCTGCCATGTGGTATCGCTGTGAGTCAAAATCGACTCGATAGCACCTCACAACAAAAAATTGGATTTGGGGAAATGAGAGAATAAGTGGACAAGGATACAAAAGAAAGAGTTATAATGACTTTAATATTAAATAATTCCCTATACTTTGTCCACTTGCTTTAAACTGCTTTTTATTTCTTTCTATACCTATACCACTTTATAGTCTTTCATTGATTTAATGTTTATTGAATCCATAAGGTCAGCCAGGCACAGAACCAGTGGCTGGATTATATAACTTCTTATCTCCACTGCCACAGTTTGTTTCTTTCCCATCTCCAATTCATTCTCAGCTCTGCTGATTTTGCCCAACTGCTGATTGGCTCCCTCTAGAATGGCTTTTTTCTATTTAACCAAATCAAGACTGCTGAAGTCACAATTTCAGGTTGCTATGCTTGACCTAGGAGCTCTGGTAGCATAGTGCCTAAGGCACTTGACTGCTCACTAGAAGGCTGGCAGTTCAAACCCGCCAGCCACTCCTCGGAAGAAAAATTGGGCAATCATACTTCCGTAGTGATACTGCCTCGGAAACCCAAGGAGGGGTCGCTGTGAGTCGGGGCCGACTCTATGGCAAACAACAACAACAACAACAATGCTTGACCTATCTAATTTTCACCTGTCACTCTTCTGAACTTCCTAAATAAATGTAAAAAACCTCAATAGTGTAGTCAGACAAAATGGGTCTGTATTTTATTCTTTATGAACTGAAACATTAGTTGGCTTTTCTTAGGGTCCCATTCCTTGTCTTTCAAATGTGGCTTTTGAAATACTTGTCATGAATTTGTTCTCACAGTTACTTTTTCTTCTCCTTCTAAGGCGATTTTTGGGTACTTAATCTCAAGTGATTTGTATTGTTCCTTAGCCGTAGTGTAAGCCTCTGGCGCGGAGACATTGTCTAGATCTCGCTGAGTATGCTTCCCTACTCCAGTTCTTGCTTACTTGCTGAATGAATGCTAATGTTAGTTAACATTGTCACTTATGATTAAGGGGAATGAACTTTTAGAATTAAAATTAAGGATAGATTGTTAACATTTTGTTGTGCACCATTCATGACTTGATGTTCTTTGACTGTTTGTTCTTTCAACTACTACTGGATTTGGAATGTGTATACTGGCAGATTATATTTAGTCTATTTGTTCCTTCCCCCTTCAGCTCTTATTTTTACCACATTATTCTGCTTTCTACATAAGCTTTTGTGGATTCCTAGAATGATATAGCCATTTTACGGTTGTGGATACTGAGCCAGCAGGAACCGTCAGGAGTGGAATCCAGGTCTTTTAGATTCCTACTGTGATGTTCTTTCTCAGTATACCATGGCATTCATGTTATTTAATTCATATTATTTAATATTACTGTTAAATAATTTAAATTTAATATTACTATTAAATTTAATATTACTATTAAAAAGAGGAGAAAGTTTAGGAGACACAATTTTAAAGATGTTTACAGTGATACAGTACTTTTGGGATTTTTAACCAATATAGATGTAATAAAGAATTAAAACATCTGTTGTCTGAAATGTGCTTCCTTTTTTCCCTTGGGAAGGATAGATACTTTATGAGCCTTAAATCCCAGACTTCATTTTGTGGACTTTTGAATGTCTGGAGTTACTTATATGGCTATCTAGAAAGCACCTTTATGTATTTTAGTTTTTTTTTTTTTTTTTTTTTTAATCCTAAGTAGTGATAATTAATAGTTTGGGAAATAGGTTATAAAAGTAATCATTCAGACTTTCATTTTTAGGGATCAAGGTGGTCGGACATTGTGTGGTGTAATGAGGATTGGCTTGGTTGCAAAAGGCTTGCTGATTAAAGATGATATGGACTTGGAGCTGGTTTTAATGTGCAAAGACAAACCCACAGAGACCCTGTTAAATACAGTCAAAGATAATCTTCCCATTCAGATTCAGGTGAGTACAGTTTAATTGCACCTTTAGGAGAATTTCTGAAAAGGTGATTAGGGAGTGACCCTGATGAATTCAATAATAAGAGATTAGTAATAGTAAAGGGTTGGTACAGAAAAAAGGAGTGCCACTCATTGGGTGAGTGACTAATCATGACATTTAAAGCAAATTTCTGGTGATTAACATGCAGAACCTATTTACAAACTTAAGGTGGATATTAAGGTGTGGCCTTAATTAAACTTTTCAGGTATATTTGAGAGACTTCATATTTTCCTTTGAGACTAGGACTCATTGCATTTTAAAACTCTTGGACAGGTTGGTATAATACATTTAGGAATTGAAAGATTGAGAAGAACCTAGACAATTGAAGACTTTCATAGATGATAATTTTTAAAATGGAAGATTCAGTTAATTTAAGTGACCTCTTCTGTTAATGGAAAGTCACTATTAATTCCTTGTTTCCAAGTGTTTTCCATATTGTGATGCATTTAGAAAGTTTTAGTGTTGGGAGCTCTGGTAGCATAGTGCCTAAGGCACTTGACTGCTAACCAGAAGGCTGGCGGTTCAAACCCACCAGCCACTCCTCAGAAGGAAGGTGGGGCAATCTACTTCCGTAGTGATCCTGCCTTGGAAACCCAAGGAGCCATTGCTATGAGTCATGTCCGACTTGATGGCACATAACAACAACAACAACAACAGTGTTGGTATGCTCCCTGGAGGATGCTGCTGAAGACTGCAGGCTCCCCAGCACTGAGACTCTGGTTGCCTTAGGGCCTGCCATGCCAGCCTGGCCCAAGGGCTGATTGCATCACTGCTGTTATCATCTTTTAGTTTTAGGTCTGTGTTAACTCTAGTCTAACTGGATTACAGTTTTTTGATAATTTCATATCAGGTAGTCCTTAATGTTTATGTCACACAACTAGATGTCAGCCACACAGATGTTCCCTTTTCTTTTATTTGTATTTCTTCTAAAAGAGCTGTTTTCCAAGTAATATGAATTTTAAATGTGTTTTTATTACCTTTGTCACTGGATCATTTTCGTTCATATTCACCAACTGATTTTCAAAATTATCTCCCTGATTTTTTTTTATCTGTCTGGTAGCATAGTGTCTGGTAGCTGGCGGTTCAAACCCACTAGCCACTCCTCAGAAGGAATGTTGGGCAGTCTACTTCCGTAGTGATACCACCTCAGAAACCCAAGGAGGGGTCGCTATGAGTCAGGTCTGACTCGATGGCAAATGACAGCAACAACAATGTCATTCCTGACGTACACATTTGAGTTACTTCTTGACACATTCCCCTGTACTACATTTTTGGGGCTATTGTTTTATTTTATCATTTTGCTTTAGATCTTAAGATGTATTTTCCTAAGTGATCGGACATATTTGTCTTTTCCATTTTCAATTCTGATGGATAAATATGTTTTCTAGTCTATTATAGGGTTATGTTAGTTTTGTTTTGCTTTTACACTCTTGTGATCATTTGGCAGGGGAAAGTGGTAGGCAACATGTAGTATAGTATAGTGAATGCTGTTATTCTACAGTCTATAATAATGTAATTCTGAAAGGATCAAAAGTTGTCAGGGCAAATTGACACCAGTGCTACTCAAACAGTTTCAGAACATAGAAAACAGTGGAATCCTCCCAAATTCATTTTATGAAGCAAGCATAACCTTGATACCAAAACTAGGCAAAGATATCACTAAAAAGGAAAACTGCACACCAATATCCCTCATAACTATAGATGCAAAAATCTTCAACAAAATCTTTGACTCCAATAACATATCCGAGAAAATAATGTTACAACCAAGCGGGGTTTGTACCATGTATGCAAGGATGGTTCAACATTAGAAAAACAATCAGCATCATCCATCACATAAATAAAACAAAGGAAAAGAACCACATGATCATATCAGTTGATGCAGAAAAGGCATTTGATAAAATCCATTCCTGGTCAAAACTCAGCAAGAGAGACTGAAACCATTCCCCTTGTGAATAGGTGATGCCCTCTATTACCACTTCTATTCAACATTGTATTAGAAGTCCTAGCCAGGGCCAAAAGGCAAAAAAGGGAAATCAAAGGCATCCAAATTGGTAAGGAAGAAGTCAAACTATCCCTATTTGCTGATGATATGATCCTATATGTAGAAAACCCAAAAGACTCAGCAAAGAAACTACTGGAACTAATTGAGGGATTTAGCATTGTGGCAGGAGACAAGGTCAACATAGAAAAATCATTTGAATTCCTCTATGCCAGCAAAAAGATTGCTGAAAAAGAAATAAAGAAATCAGTACCATTTATAATAGCTACCAAAAAAATAAAATATTTGGGAACAAATCTTACCAGGGACACAAAAGACCTTTATAAAGAAAACTACAAAACACTACTTCAAGAAACCATAAGAGATCTTCATAAAACGGAGAACACACCATGCTCGTGGGTAGGAAGATTGAACATTGTGCAAATGTCAGTTCTACCCAAAGCAATCTATATATTCAAAGCAATCCCAATCCAGATCCCATCAACATTCTTTTAAGATATGGAATAACCAATCACTATTTGGAAAGGAAAGAGACCATGGATAAGCAAAGCACTTTGGAAGAAGAACAACAAAGTGAGGTCTCACACTCCCAAATCTCAAAACCTACTATACAGCCACAATGGTCAGAACAATCTGGTATAGGTACACCCACGGACACATAGATGACTGGAACAGAATTGAGAACCCAGAAATAAATCCATTGACCTATGGTCAGCTGATCTTTGACAGAGGGCTGAAATCCATTACATGGGGAAGAGATTGTCTGTTTAACAAATGGTGCTGGCAAAACTGGATATCCATTTGCAGAAAAATGAAACAAGATCTGTACCTCACACCATACACAAAAACTAAGTCCAGGTGGATCAAGACTTAAATGTGAAACCTAAAACTGTAAAGTTGCTCAAGGAAAAACTAGGGCTAAATATAGGGGCCCTAATATCAAACCCACCAGCCACTCCTCGGAAGGAAGGTTGGGCAATCCTACTTCCGTAGTGATACTGCCTCGGAAACCCAAGGAGGGGTCGCTAGGAGTCGGGGCCGACTCAACGGCACACAACAACAACAATATCCGCTATAAATAGACTATCAAGCATAACCCAAAATGCACAAACAGTGGGAGATAAACTAGATGAATGGGACCTTCTAAAAATTCAATATTTATGTGCTTCCAAAGACTTTTCCAAAGAGTCAAAAGAGAACCTACAGAATGGGAAAAAATATTTGGCAATGACATATCTAACAAGGGACTTATCTCTGAAATTTATAGAAAACTCCAATTTTCAACAACAAAAAGACAAATTATCCAATTTTAAAAAATGGGCAGAAGACATGAATAGACACTTCACCAAAGAGGTTATTCAGGTGGCAAACAAACACATGAAGAAATGTTAATGATCGTTAGCCATTAAAGAGATGTAAATCAAAACTAGAATGAGGTATCTTGCCCCAGCACTAATAGCAAAGTTCAACAAGACAGAAATAAATGCTACAAGGATGTAGAGAGGTTGGGACTGTCACACACTGCTTGTGTGACTGTCAAATGATACAACCACTGTGGAAAGCAGTATGGCGATTCCTTAAAAAGTGGAATTAGAAATACCATTTGACCCAGCAATCCCATTACTAGGTATATATCCTAAAGAAGTGAGAGCCAGGACAAGAATAGATATATGCAAACCCATGTTCATCGCAGCACTATTTACAATAGCAAAAAGTTGGAAACAACCTAGGTGTCCATCAGCTGAGGAATGGATAACTATACTAAGTATATACACACAATGGAATACTATGCAACCCTAAAGAATAATGTAGAATCTGCAAAACACCACATAACATGGATGAACTTGGAGGACGTTAGGCTGAGTGAAATAAGTCAATCACAGAAGGACATATACTGTATTAGTCTGATATTGTGAAAAGTCAAGTAAAGGTTTATATATGGAAGGAAACCTTCTTTGTTGGCTACCAGGGGAGGGGAGGGAACACTGCTAGATAGGTGGAGAGAGGTATTGATTTGGGTGAAGGGAAGGGCAGTGCACCAAATGTGAGTGATCAACATGGTGGCATTGAGGAAGAGGAAGACAGAGAAAGGTACATTGGAGATATAGACAACAAAGATGAACCCTTTTGCACATACAGTACTGTGCTGTCAGTGATGGCAAACATTGATCTACAGGTGGATAGATGGGCGGACAAGCTGAATGATTATGTATTCTATGCAGGGGTGAGTGTGCCCATGACCATGTATAGAGTTGGCAGACAATGTTTCTACAAGTGTATTTGTGTGTTCTGTAAGAATGTCTAGGTGTATAGTAGAGCCAGCAAGGGACAAGGTTGTGGTGACTTCTTGGCCATAGCCAGCTACCTGGAGGGAGTGAGTAGTTGGACCTATGGGCTGGGGACCATGGTCCCAGGGAACATCAGGCTCAATTGGCATAGCATACTACACAAAAAACTTGTTCCACATCCTACTTTGGTGAATAGTGACTGGGATCTTAAAGACTTACAAGCAGGCATGTAGATGCAATGATGGGTCTGTCCTCATGCAGAGCAAAGAAAGAAGAATGAAGAAAACAAAGATTCATGGAAACAGTTTTTCCAAGCAACTGGTAGACCATATGGTTCTCAGCCTATACGACTTTGAGACCAGAAGAGCTAGATGGTGCCTGGCTACCGCTGCCAGCCACTTGAAGGGGGGTTCTGTGTAGGAGATCCTGGATAGAGTGGGAGAACAATGTGGCACAAAACTCAAAATTATTGAGAAAAAAAAAAAAGACCATGAGACTATGGCCCCTAGCTGTCCTTCAGTTGTGGAATTGAACTTACTCCTGTGGCTTCCAGCCACATAAAGGACTGGCATTTGGGCATATGGGCTGATTGTTTACATCAGGTAGATGCACTCCTTGGAGAGATCAATCATAGGAGAATAGAAGGGCATCGTATGCACAGGGAAACTGCTGGGGGGGCAGGAGTACATGGGAGGGAAGGGCGCAGGGAAGAGGTAACTATGGAGAGGAAGTGGGAAGAGAGCTGTTAGTTACATTATGGGAAATTGCAGTCAATGTCATGAGATAAAATGTGTATGAACTTCTTTATGAAAAATGAATTTGCTGTGTAAACTTTCACCCAAACCACACATGCACACATACACAAAGTAAAGGCATTGTAGAATAACTTGGAGGGCTTTTTTAACCATATCACCCCCTTTTTCCATCCCCTATAGTGAGTTTTGTTTCATGTGACAATAGTCATATGACTCAGGTATGTGGGTATAAAGGTTTGAGAATCAGTGCTGTAATTAAAATCAGAGTTACCATACGGAAAATCTATCACCTCTCTGCAGTATTAAAGATACAGGAGATTAGGCCAAGCTTTGATCTGCATTAATAGATCTTTGTCTTTGCAGATCACAACTGTGTAAACTCTGCGTTACTTATGTCCTGAGTGAGAATCTTTATTTCTGTCCATCATATAGTTAAAATATTCAAACTAACAAGTATTTGGGGGGATCCAGGAGAGAACACAGGCTGTGCAAGCTATCTCAAAATTGAGGCAGCTAGGCCATTTAGGCTAGAGAAGAGAAGGCAAAAAGGAAAACATAAATATCTTTAGGTCTTTGAAGGGCTGTCTTACAGATGGTTAAAGAGGCCTAAATTTTAAGACCTATAGTAGAAATTATGAAATATACATACATTACACATTTCAGTTTAGTACAACCAGTAGAGTTGTCCCACAATGTAACTGGCTGCTTTGTGTAATGGTTAGATCCATTACTATAGGTATTTGGGTAGAGGTCCATTTACCTGTAAAATGAGGATGAGAATTGTACACCCATCTGAGATTGAATTATATACATGCACGTACGTAATATATATACACATATACATATACACATACACATTTTTGGTAATATTTCAGGAGATCATTTAAGTGTGATTTTTACCTTCATACTACCCCACATTGCCCTTGAGTTCTCTTTATGTATAAAACCATTCTCTGATATCTTATTTTCTCATTAATTATAGATCTTTTTTCCTGAACATTTACCGCAGCAAAACTTTCCTTTATCTAACACTGTAATTGATTAAGGTTATATTATACCTTTTTTTCCTACATACTCTTTCTGAGGGTGATTTTGGAACTTCTTGAGCAAAAGAGGAGAAGGATGACCAAAAATAGAAATGACTTACAGTTAGTCTAGCTCATATCTCATACCATATGCTTATTATTTTGGTTGTGTCTGTTCAGCTATGGTGATCTGCATGCAAAATTGAAATATTAGTTTGACTTATGCTACTGTTGACACCTTTAATGCTCTTTGAATGGCAAATGTGAGTAGTTTTTGGCTGTTTCTCTGTAGTATAGTTTTGGTTCTTCCATTTACCGTATGACTTTTCCCTTGCTTGGTTTCCTTAGTCCAGAGTTAAAAGAATGGATTTTCTCTTTCATGTGCTTTTTGAAATGCTTAGGGATAAAATGTTATTTTCATTTGAATTCTTTTAATGCACATGGGTGGGCAGAAACTTAGTAGTAGTATCTCTCTACTTAGAGACTGAATTTCACTACCGAAAAAGGCCCTGTGTAATTTTTTTATTCAATTACATATTTAATGCATAATACTATGTTAAATATAATTAAATATATAAATGGTTGATTATTTTGTGGAAGGCCCTTAAATTATGTTTACAATTATATGTTAAAAGAAGTAATGTATTCAAGTTTCCCTGTGGATGTCAGATAGCTTGTCCCAGAATGGTAGGGCTTCCTGGAATGATACCTGATGGCTGTCATCGGAGGAGGAGGTTACTTATTCATATTCATTTTTCACTGGTTGGTGATTGTGCAGAGATCCTTTCTCATTCATGCTTCCTCAAGTCTCTTTAAAAATCTGCATAATCCGTTACTTGTAAATCCTTGGCAAGTAGGTGTTTCTGTTGGGTAAGGTGTTCTATCCAAAACGCTATTTTTTTAGAACACATTCCCAGCTTTAATTATTCTACAGTAATGATCTGATAATTGCAAGAACAATCATTTACCCTTTATCACATTAAATGATGCTGTTTGAGAACTAAGCAGCAAACATTCATTTTTTGAGATTTTAATCTAATTGGGTGTTTTTGAAATCTTGGTGACTTTCAGAAACTCACAGAAGAAAAATATCAAGTGGAGCAATGTGTCAGTGAGGCATCTATTATAATTCGGAATACAAAAGAACCCACGCTGACTTTGAAGGTGATACTTACTTCCCCTTTAATTAGGGATGAATTGGAGAAAAAGGATGGAGGTACATGTATATATTTTTTTGTTTTGTTTCGCTCATTTATGACCTCTCTTGAATGCTATGTTAACTCTTCTTTATGGATTTAGGAAATAACTATCTTCATTTGTTTTATGCCACCCATAATATTTTAAATGGCTCTGTTTCTACAGAATCAGTATATTTTGCAATAATGTGTAAATTCAAAATATAAAACATGTTAATTCAAAATATGCTTATCATTTTAGTCTTAATTCTGTTTTAGTTTTCATACCATTTTGTTTTTCTATTTTACTTTATCTAGTATTGCCATAAATGTTGATATGAGCCCACCTATGTAGTTTGGTTTAATAAAAATTTCAAAATTTAGTGTGGTTCAAAACAATATTTTTTTCAAATTTACTCACTTACTGTTTTAAAATTACTCACTTGCACATTGCCCTTGAGTTCTGATAAGTGTATACTATAATAGTGTAAGATTTGTACTATTTACTTTCTTGTGTATAGATTTGTCTTAAAGAGTAAGAGATCTAGACTTAGTATTTATTTTAAATATTTTTCTTTTCTAGGAGGCTTTTGACCCTGTTAACATTTTGAGTAAAATATATGTAGGAATCAATGCTTTTAAATTTTTTCCTCCTGAAGTTAAAAAGAATTGTTATATTGCAATGTCATTTTTATAAAAGAGGTATCTATATGATTATCATTAGTTTTGAGAAGTAATGATGGAGCTGTGCTAGGCTTCTTTTTCTGATGTCTTTATCCTGTCAAGTTAACTTCTTTCTGCCTCTCAGTCCTATCCCTAGAAACTTGCCATGTGATACTCCTGTGTCAGACCTTTGACCAACTGACCATTCTCTGTCATGACAGTTTAGAGGCACTTTGGCCCATCTAGGCCAATGGAGATTCCCTGTTGCTATTTTTTCATCACTAGATTTCAACCAGTCCCATTGTTCACTCCCCTACCTGAAATACCGGTGCGGTAAGAAATATTGGTCAGTTTCTTAGTTTATTTCAAGTTGGTGATAAGGGTAGATAAAAATCATTTACCACTGAAGTTAGAATTTAGAGTTTTGTCTAAGACATGACTTACAGGATCACTTAAAGAAAAAGTGATAGATTCTTTTAAAAAATGCTTTTTGGTGTCAATAAAGCCAGCTATAGCACACCCAGCATACAAACCAGAGACATTTATAAGTCATATTTTAAAATCAAAGTGCGTTCAATTTATAGTTGGGTTTATGCTTGTACATTTTTTGCTGTATATATAATATGTATAGCATCTCTAAAGAACCAATCTTAAATGGCTTAATTTCTTTAACAGCTTTACAGTTCACCATTAACTGTAGAACTATAAAATGATTTCTGCAGTGTCAAGATAAATGTTAATTCTGGTAAGCTGTGTTCTACTTGACCCTCTAGTGTAAAATCAACTATTTCTAAATATAGTTATAAGTATAGGTACTATTAAAATTTATTTGAGTATGGAAAGATGAGAAAAAGCCTGAAGTTATTGCCAAAGGCTAGGTTAATTATACATTCACTTATAGCTATAGGCATTCCTTCCATTACTTCTATGAAAGAGTTAAGGGAACGTCAGGCTTCTTTTTTTCCTATGGTTTTGTGTGCCTACATGGGATTTTGTCATAGCTTTCAGTGATACTCTTAAGATTAGTCTGTTTCCTTTATAACTTTAATTTCTGTTCAGAGAAGCTGGAAACAGATTCTTGGTGTATTACATGCTTGCTAGAACACTCTTCATTACAGAATGGAATATGTAATTAAGTAGGAGAGTCATAGTGTCTCTTCAAGGTGTTTGGGTTGCTAAAGGATCCAGAGATCTTTTATGAGCTGTCTCACAAGCTGATGTTACCATTATCCTGTGGGCCAGGTAAGGTAAAAGAATCAGCTTGGATCTACTGTTTCATACAAGTTGCTTCCTCTCTTTTTGAATGGCAGAAAGATTTGCTTTGCCATTTATGTTATCCTTAACCTTGCAACCCTGTTGATTCTCATGTTATCTTTCATAGTTTGCTCATTTTGTCTAACCTGGGCTTTGTCAAAGATAATTTTTGTTCTATGCTAGCAGGCAGCTTGGAGAATCAAGCATAAATTGAGCAATTGAGACATGAGCTATACAATTCTATCAGATTTTTTTCTTTTTTTCTCTAGACCACTCCTCATTTCCTTAATGCATTTCACTGCATGAGGTAAAAGCACAAGATTCATTTAGGTTCCAAGGATTTCTAGAACTGGAACATAGGCTTTTTTTTTTTTTTCAGTCTCATTCATTTTCTTTCTCAAAGTTTAAAAACTAACCATCAAAACTTTTGTTCTTGGAGACCTTTTTGTATAGTATCTCAGGTTTCCTTCACACACCCCCAAACAAACAAACAAATAATTCACAAAATTTTGCATCTATTGCTTTCCTCTCTTTGCTTGTTCTGTATCTGGGTAAAAATCTATATAAGGAGAAAAAGCATGATTGAAAGCAGGTAGAACCAAAGGACTGGGACAGGTTAGGACATCAGATTTACCCATTCAGGGATGTTTCTGCAGAAGTGGATCTTTTGAAATTTTCATTTCAAATTATTCTTTACATTTTAAATTGCCAGAGTATGTAGTGAGTCTCTTTGACATTGTTTACTGTTTCATAAGTAAGATTCCTCTTAGGTGGTCAATTTTCTTTGCATACATTAATAGTTCAAGGCCCTGTAGAATAGCTATTTCTCCATTACTACCTCTGGTAGTGTAGTGCCTAAGACACTTGACTGCTAACCAGAAGGCTAGTGGTTAAAACCCACCAGCCACTCCTTAGAAGGAAGGTTAGGCAATCTACTTCCATAGTGATACTGCCTTGGAAGCTCAAGGAGGGGTTGCTATGAGTCAGGTCTGACTCAACGGCACGTAACAACAACAACACCTCTTTCCTGCTAAAGAAGGTATAGAAAAAACAGCACAGAGCTTGGTGCCTGGCGAGTGTGTGTTTGGTTCCTAACTTCATTAGTTACTATTACTGTAAACTTGGGCAGGCTGCTGCTTTGTGAAATGTGAATAATAAATACTCCAGAAAGTTGTTTGGAGGTGAAATTAGAGAATTTATGTAATTTGACTGCACTTCAGAGATTCACAGAGCACTCCCAACCTACTCAAATTGACACGAATTAGCAGAATAATGTGTTCATGACAGGTCTAAAGAACTGAACCTGAAGATGGTTAAACTCTGAAAAACCATTAAAGTATAGTATTGGAACCAGTGTTTTGTATTTACTGCAGTGCTCATAATCTGGTTTACTGTGTAGCTTATGATTCATTGAAGGTAGTTCTTTTTTTCACCCCTTTATTCCTAGCACCTAGCTATACTGCCTAATACATGGTGGGTAATTAAAAAGAAAGATCTGTTAAATGTATTTAGGTAGCAAGCATATTGTTTGATTTAAAAAAAAAAAAAAAGACAAGATGGCGGACTAGGCAGAAGGATTGCACAGACCCTCTTCAACAAAGAAAAGGGAAACCAATTAACACAGACACAGAAGATAATCTTGGA